TGGATTCCTCAAAGTCATATTCTACTACAGTTGCTTCAGAAATTTGCAATCGGCGATCACGTTCTGGGTTGGACAGACCAATTTACCGTACAAATTTTTCTGAAGCATGAGGAGTTGCAGCAGAATATCCGACGTAATCGAAATCCAGTGCGGCTATCTTAAAGTCCGGCACTCTAAAATATCGTGTTCCTGGTTTTCATAAATGACCACGCATCGGTGTTTTCTACAGATTGTCTGCTATTCGCTGATAACTAAGACGCGGGAACAGACATCCCTGCAATGTGATCTGGATAGATCATCAGCATTGTCCACCGAGAACATGCAGTTATTCAACGCAGCTGGGTGCAAAGTTCTGAGCACAAAACCATGAAAACAATCATACCTATCGGCTAGTGCCTTATGTGCTACGGTGCGTTTCTCATTATTGCGAGATCAACATGCTTTTACAAGGTGATTTATTTATTTATAGTGAATAAAAGGCTTCCAAGAAATGTCAGCATCTCGGCCTCCTTCATATGGTTTGTGGAAAATTCGATGCCCTCATATTTACGCAAATTATTAGCGCGTACTTAAAGCCGAATGTGGAATACGCTAAGCGTAGCAAAACTGGTAGTACTGCAGCCTCACAACACTCGATACCTTAGAGCGCAGAGATGAGGGTTCTCAACGGTTTATATCGCCTTCAACACAAACAGGCTGAAATCGGAGTGTCAGTTTACAGGTGTCCACTGAACAATCTCCTAATGACATGTCAGATTCTATAAAACCTATCGAACCTGCCATTAAGTTTATAACGGCCAAAACACATTTTCAGTGGCTTACTGTTTGGGCTGGTCACGCCGTATAGGCGACTGAGATCTTGTAGAAACGTTTCCTCCCTCCGAAATTCGCAACCGTGTAACTCCCTCCCAATGCATGTGAGTAATGCCTCCACATAACCACTAATCTAAAAGCTACTTGACAACAAACTAACAGATTTAGCTAGAGAATGCAATGTGTAGGTCGAATTGGGTGCTGTTTCAGATCCCTTCAAATCTAGACTTTGGCCTCAAAAGGCTGCTGCTTAGTCATCCATCTTTGGCTTCTCTTATCGACGCTGTGGTTTTATCTTATTAGATTTCGCCCAAACATCTCAAGCAACCTGTCAAGAATTTGTTTTCAATCTATTGTTCCATAGTGGGTCCCTATGATCTTTTGAACTGGAAGTGAGGTGAGAATTTGACGAAAAACGGAAACAAGCTTATCAATCCTATTATCGAATGTGTTCAAGAGACTCGTTCCTTATTTCATAAATGGGTTGAACAAGCATACTTTCCTGAAAATACTGTTCTGTCCAGCCCTTTCGAGTTCATCATAAGTACGATCCTTCCGCGTATAAGATTTCAGGACAAAGGAGATAAAGTCGGCTATGATGCGCTTAACCACAGTATGCATATTAATTTAAAAATAATCGACTACGCATCAGCCACTAAATGCCTCATAAGTGGTGGATCCATCTTTAAAGCATACTAGCCGACATTTTTATGCGAGGTGATTGTTTCCATAGAACTCAAGATTGGTCAACTTCAAATGAAACAAAGTTTCGTTTTTGGGATTAGTTGGTCTGAAAACTTATTCAATGATATGAATCCCTAAACGTTTTCCTGGACTTAAATAAACTTACAGCTAATAACAGCACTCTGGTTCACTAACGAATTCTATAACTGGAACCCAAACGTTATAGTGACAAACACCATGGTTTCTCAGAGACACGAAATTGGTTTGCTTAGTAAGGTAAGATGCAAATGCAGGAAAGTACACTCCTTCATTTTGCTGGGAAGTATTCTAGGTCGAGTTTCTTCTCTTCACCATAGTAACCAAGCGTTTAACATTGGAACACAAGCAGAAACAAATTCAAACGATTAACTTTGTCTAAGTCAAATTTCCGATTTGTTCAAAAATGTGAACTTCTCTTTTTATTTTCAAATAATGGCACAATATTCAAGGATTGGTTACCCTTTGTAAAGGGGACTCACTTAATTGTGAAATTAGCATACATTGCCTTGTTGTGCCTCTGCATATGCTAGAAGAACATAGTAATCACTCTAAAAGTTAAAAATAGTGGTACTCAAACCTGTGTTTGGCTAGCTGTTACAAATTAGTGGAAAATATTTTACACGCGGATCATTTCAGTTCGCTTGAATAAAAATAAAGCAAACATTCATGTTCAAACTTCTGAACGACCTAAACATCAACTCTGATTGTTCCGTTCATATAACTGAACCAATTCGTAAATCATTACGCAATAGCTTGTGTTGGATCACCTTATCGTGCAGTCGCATTGGCGTTCGCTGTAGCCTTCTAGTTTAAAGATTCACATTCTCACGGAATGTGTTGTCAGTGGTTATTAGATCAGCAGGTAGTGCGCATCGTTGTATCATCTTTTTACGTATACCTAGTAAAACGAAATCATAATCAGTGTTCATTATTTCTGTACACCAGCTAATGTGTCGCAAACTTGGTGTCGCAAACTTGTGGTTGTGCACTTTCATGAAATAATATCCCTGGACTACTTTTACGGGTCCCTTTATTTCCTCCTAGATGCTTCACACCATATTCATATAAAAATGGTAATTGCTTTTTAAACTTCTGTTTTGCTGAGGCCTCCATACTGGTAGTTAAATAGTTATACATTAATTATTTAACTATTTTACTCTCAGCATTAACCATTCATCAAATAGATAATCACCGGTACTGACCGTTATGAGGATTACGGTTGAAAAGATATTAAGACCATCAGCTCTAGTGGTTACAACGTCATTTTTCTTCACCTACTACGGAAAGTGATGATGTTCGGTAATTCAAACTAAGATCCGTTTGAGCTGTGACCCGGAGGATTGGACCGAAGGATTCGATGCCACAGCTGTATTTACATTTATATTTAAAATTACAGATTAAAAATATACGCTTCTTCTACACGGGCTAAATAAACCCAACGTTTAAGCACATACGCATTTGTAAATATAACTATATCGTCCCGCTTACAGTAAACTCTGAAGAAAATATTGGTATATGGACACGTAAGGTTTATTATATAAACGTCAAATAAAAGCAGAAGAGAAACATTTAATTAAAACTACCCGACATGTGCCAGTTAAAGTGAAACCGGGGTCCCGAAACACAAAATTGCTATGGGAGTAGTTCGTAGTTTATCCATGACGAAATGAGAAAATTTATCCCAGCAACAACGCCGCATGTTCCATAGTGGTGCTGAGAATTTAAAAAAGCTGTCCATTTGGAGCGTCTGTTCATTAAAACGCAAACAATTGATTTGGTTGTTTGTTCAAAGCGGATCGAATCAGCATCAACAAATGACCTCATAATGTCGCACCTCTTAAACATACATCCCTGCCCAATATCGCTGCTTCCTGAAGTCTAACCCCTATTTCAACTTGAAGAGCCATCCACTGAGGTCAGTCTCTATAGCTAAATCAATGAAATAGTTCCTCCCTACAGTTTCCTAATGATGGACATTTATCCTCATTACTTCATCTAAAATACCGCTATCTAATAACGCTTGCAGCAATTTATCTATAGTTTAGCCGAACCTGTACTAATGAGGACCGAATTCGGACAAGGTTCTTGCAAACCACCTTCTCACAAAAATTTGAAGGACCGAGTTGCAGCTTTGTCATGAGAACGAGATGTTGAGTTCAACGGTGGCACTTAATAAAATGACAGGTGTGCGCCCAATCCTGCAAATCTCCTCAGAAAGAACGTATTGAACTAGTTAACTGTTGCTGATTTTGCAATGAAAACGTTTTCAATTACTACAGTAACAATGAAATCGAACTGCATGCCGAGTACAGGTCAGAATGTGTTGTGTATTGACGATGTAAATGAAATACAAAAATTAGGAGTACTTCTTCACAACAAAGAACGCTGATGTCAACATCGATCAATGTGTGAAAAAGCATCCAAAGGACATTCGACGAAAGTGGTATAACCGCATTTTCGTTGGTTAAATCAAAACGGGAAGCCAGTTGACTGTGCTGAGCTTGACCGCTATCACAAATTTATAATACTGTTATCTATCTGTCTTGCCTAGAAAGCACTATAGTAAGAGTTAAACGGTTGATATCAAGGGATCTGTAATCGTTCCTATATTTGAATCTTAACAGTATATTAGTTTACGACCGCTCGTTCAGCAGTTTAGTAGTGTGGTCCTTTTTGCAAGTTTGCCAACTTGATTTCATTCAGAGAATCCTCCTAAAAGCATAGATTGGATGTAGAACCTATTTTTAACTGTTGAGATGTAAAACGTTCTGTAACGACTATTGTAATAGTGCAAAAACTAAAGATAGCTCGCCGCCAATCTTTGCTTTAATTTGTGATCTACGGAGGCTATCGCAGGCTAAATTCCTGAATCAGTGAGCGGGAGTTCCGTCTTTTGAATAGCCTAAAAGTAGACTGCAGATTGCAAACTATTAAGTACCGGGAATAACAACGAAAGCAAAACAAGAGAAAAAAAGTTGCTACATTTTCTAGTGAAAATTAACTTAGAGGTCTGCGTTTAAGCAGTTATTATGGAAGATTTATATGTCCATTTCAAGCAAGCCATTTAGTTCATATGTAGAAGAAGGCGCCAAAGACCAAGTTCGTGGTGATGCTGCAAAGCCACGTTGAATTCCGTTGGGCGATGCGCTAAACTTTACAAAATTAACGCATTGCAAGTGCTTAGGTATGCCATATCTATATAATATATGCTATTTTTAATATGCAGTATATTTTTATAGCGTCCGCATTCGTTGGTATTAATTTTTTCATTTTGGACATAAGTATTAAATCAAATCTCTTATAATGCGATGTCACACTCAAACGCAGTCGGCATTTGTGTGCTTGCATTTTCTTCACAGTTTGGTAGTGCGCTATGTTTTGGCATAATTGGCGGGAAAAAGGAGGAGCAGATTTGCCTACTTTGCTGAACAGTCCATGTGGAATTTATGACATACAGAACTTACTTGTTGGGTATTCCAGCAAGAAATATTTTTCGATCGGAGAATACTTCAGGTATCTTTAAGGAGGCATATACGGCCTCCTCATCCACTTGCACAACGAGCGTCTGATGTAGACCTTCTGTTCTTATTACCTTTGAGACAAAGTGATGGCTTCGTAAAGCTAATGGAAACGAAGAAACTGCCATTATAGCTATCTTGTGCTCTATTAAATTCTCATTAAGGATTTGTACTATGATAAGATTGTTAACATATTTTCGCTTTAGGGAAACAAAACAATATGTATATATATGTAACGTCTCTTTGCTCTAAGCGTCCTTAATTTCCTTTAAATAGATCGTTTTCCCGGAATACTGGTCACACAGGTGCTCATATTTTAACCGAATCCCTGAGAAAAGAGTACAAGCCTTATGGCTGAATGAGATTTACCTTTGTCTGGCTTTTAACAAACTTTCTATATATTTATTACGGTGTATTCGGAGTCTAAATTTAGACAACAAAACAAAATTAAGAAAAGGCTTGCCTGCTTTTATGAATTATAGCAAAAGTACATATGCTTTATTACCCAGATTTAGATTGTATGTTTGTGTACATAAACGATAGCATTAAAAGATTATTAATATTCGGTGTTTTATTTCTGGAAGACGCGTGCTTGTGAAAGATACAGTAGCGGTAGTCAAAAAACATACAAGAAACTATTTACGTTGATGAAGTGAGGAATAGGGGAGATTAATCCTTAACATTTAGGTCGCTTTTTCCAAATAATCGTGCTATTTTATTTACTTCTTTATCTGAGAATTAGATTAAACATAGCTAATTTCATGATATGGTCATATTATTCAGGCTGACATGTCTGGAAACATTAGGCAACAACTTGTATCAGTTTTAGGTCCGCTGGTGTCCACATTACGTCAGTGGCACAAAATGCTGCCTGGTATTGGAGGCCGCTCGTGGTCGTTGGTTTAATTCCTAATGGAGCAGATGTATGAGCAGTCGGCCCAAAAGGACGTCTAGTGCTTCTCCGGGCATGTAGAGGGCTATTTGTTTTGGAAACGGCTGCGCCAAACATGCACTAGCAAAGATAACTATTTGACGTTATATGGCAACATTCCAGGTCCCCTCAGTATTTTTCTGAGTAAGGTCACAAAGTTGAAAGTAAATAGATCTAGTTTGTTGTCCGCAATCATTTAGAAAATACTAAGTGAATTCACGCTATACCTGCGGTTGCAGTCACATTTTGGGTAGTAGGTACGTAGGCGAAAACTTGCTATATTAGGTCTGAATGAATAATGTTTTGGCATTTGGTAATTTGTGTTTCAAGAAATAATAATGTCAGTCAAATAATCAAGAAAATATATATTAAAATGCTAATATTAGGAACAATTTCTGTTTACTATAATTTTTTCGACAATCCACATTAACTCAAAAATATACGCAGCCAAATTGGTCTCGCTCAAATGTTTTACATTGCCAACATACTTTAATGCGGTGCCATCTTGAATCGTTAAGCAACCTGGACTTCTTAGACCTTGCTGTGCGTCTTGATTTGAGTTCATCCAAATAGATCAGGTGAAAGTCTCCATTGACAAGCTCTAAGCCGAAGATTTCCTTGTTGTCTACTTCGTAACACAATATTATTCCAAAATTCTTGAAAAGAAAAGGAATATGGCAATAGTCGAGCCAGCGGAATGAAGTTAAATACAGGGACGTGAAATAAACTGATTGAAAATCGTTGTTGAAAAAGGATATGAGCTGATCAATGGTAGATAGGGCTATGTACCGCAAAATTCATAAAAGATGACAATTTAACATCATTTGCTTATTTTGAGAAACGAAACACACGTGTAGTTAATAAGTGTCTGAAGTTGCTGTTTTTCAACTCCATTTGACGACAGATTCATGGGTTAAAGTTGTCCATAGTGATAGCAGGTGAATGACTGTAACCCTATACCTTAGCGGTGTGGATTAAAACTTTCTTTCCCCCTTCATCCGGCCGTATAACTTATGCAGTTTGTTTGTCCTCTGCGATGTTTCCAACAACAAATATCTCAGTTTCTTCTCCAATCGACAGTGCTGAAGGAACTGCAATGTTAAATTTGTGCAAGAGTTTAACTATTCCTTTGGCATTATGTCAAGGTTAAAAATCACGTTTCAGATTCTTTGAAATACCATTGTTATTTTTACTTTGCCTATTAAAAATACACACATATATATATATTTTCAAACAGAAGTGCAACTTAGCTTATGTGTTCTCGTGTTAAAGATTTTATGCTTAATATACTATCCATTATAATTTTTACCTATGTTCTTTACTCATAAATTAAATTACAATTCACGTCTATTTTAGAAGAATTATTACCTTGATAACTACATTTGACTCAATGCGGAAAAACGTGTGATAGCAAGTGGAAACAAGTAAGATCGAATGTATACGCCTACCACTGCAAATGATTTAGTTTGGCGAGCAGTCAGCCGTGCTGCCAAAACAAGGTTCGTTCCGGTTAACTAACTCTAACAGTCAACTAGTAGGTTGACTAAACACAAAATTATTTCATTAACGTACTTTATTAACTTTGATCCAGAACTCCAAAAAGAAATTTTTACTTTCAACAGGCAGCGTAATATCTACATAGGAATCGTAGGAATTAAACTTGAGCGGAAATTCCAAAAGTGGTTCCTGTGTTGTTTTGTGCGCTGTAACCTCCACTCGCATGCTCCACACCGTCGATTTGGAAAGGTATTGAATTTGTTCAGCCAGCTGGATAAAGTTGATTCCATTAAACTCGAATTTCATTACGTGACCAATGAACACAAAGCGAGGTTCATTAACAAATGACCGGTTCAAGAATCTTCTCGGGAATCCATCCACTGGACTGTTGTTTGAAATTAATTCACTTTGTCCAAGAATGAGATGTCCATGAGACAGGAATTTCTCAGTTTCCGGAAGGTCTGTAATAATGCGACCGTACGAAACGGTAAGTACTTTCAGATGGCAGGAAACGAGCAAAATGTGGACGTACAAATCTCTGATGTCCACAAGCGTGTATATAAATAAATAAATAAATAAACGTTTTATTCCTCAGCAGTGCGAGGCAAAGACCAATTGGGTGGTCTTATCAACATGTACAACGTGATCGCATAATATAGTTAATTGTTCGTCTCTTGATCGAAGGTTCCCGTAAGGGTTTTGAAATGATTAGCAGTCAATAGGCCAGTCACAATTTGATGGAAAATCATGGCGAGTGACGACGATGGTACAGAGACATCAGCTTGGAAGGCGTAGTGCATCAACGAACCAGTGCGTCAAAGGAGAAAACAGAATTGGTTAAGCGGATTAATAGGAGTAAGATCGTTCTCAAATATATACTCAATAATGCAATTATATGTAGGTAATATTATATTATTGAAACGATAGAGGATATGGTGACTTTCATACGTATCCAGGACCTTTCTCATACAAATCATCTAGAGTCACCGTTTGGCTTAGTGTTGACCAGATGTTTGCAACAGTCAGGTGAATATTAATCATGCGTCTGAATTGTGCATAGGTAGTGCAGTTTCTAACACTCGATGGAAGTTTGTTCCATATTAACGCGTATTTTACAGAGAAAAATTTTGAGCGGAGCTTTGTACGAGATTTTGGTATTTTCACTGTGCACTCGCTGTTTCTTAGTTCATAGCGCATACGAGTCTGAAACTCGAGTTGTGGCTGAGCAGTGAAGGTCAATCCGAATAGTAAGCGGTATAAAAGGCAGAGATTGAGTCTGCGTAGCCATAGCGGCTCCAGATGTAGCGCCTCGCAACGCTCACGGTATGTCATAGTATTAGGCATGTTCAAAAACCACTTTGTGAATGATCGTTGAATGTTTTTTAGTGCCATACTATCCGCTTTTCTCAGATTACTATGCACTATCGTACAGTACTCAAGTTTCGGCCTAACACATATTTTAAAGGCTTGAAGCCTAGAATCCCACAAAATAAGAGTTCGACTTATATAGGCGATCACTTTTCTGGCAGAAGCCTGCAAGTATATAACATGCTCTAAAAAGTTAAATGAGGCAGAATATCTTAGACCAAGGTCTCGGACTGCGCCACTCACATGAATAGGGGTATCGTTTAATGTAAGGATGTTCAGAGAAGGGCCACAGCCGTAGTACAATAGATTACTCATGTCAGTGGCAAAATGCAACTTCCAGGAGTTACTCCAGAGCTCCAATGCGGACAATTCAGACTGAATATAGGCTAAGTTAGGACTACGTTGCCCAGGGGTGGAACAATACACAATTTTAACATCATCTGCGAAAAGGTAAGGCTTTCCATATGAGATTTCATCAAGGCGATCGTTGAAATAGATTAAAAATAAAAGCGGGCCTAGCACGCTACCTTGAATCACTCCACTAGAGATTGTAGTGACTTCAGATGTATAGTTACCGATTTTAACTACTTGCTTCCTACCCTCGAGGTAGGAAGACAACCAGTCTAGAAGCGAATTAGTGATACCATAGGACATAAGCTTCAGCAGCAATAAATTGTGTGGGACACGGTCAAAAGCCTTTTGGATATCAAGAAATATTACGATGATAGCACTTACGGCGTATCTTGCTCTAGTCACATAATCAAGGTAATCTAACTGGCAGGTAGTGCACGACCTACCTTTCAAAAAACCGTGTTGATGTTTACTGAGTAGGCTCATAGAGCTCAAATATTCTATCATGCGTTCTTTAACTATCCTCTCCATGATTCTGGAAATAATAGATGTGTGGTGGATTGGGCGGTAATTTTTTACATCTTGCATAGATCCGCTTTTGTGCCTTGGTATTATAGTTGATTGCTTCCAGTGTATAGCATACTCCCCATTGAGCATGGAAAGTGTAAATGCATTAAGCAAAAACATGGGGATGTCTGGACCTCCGTGCTTTACCAGTATTGGAGGGATGTTGTCAGGGCCTGGTAAGCATGATGGCCGAACTAATCTGAGTTGGCGACATATGTCACTAAGTGTAAATTCAACAGTTTCGAGTGTATTACTCCCTCTGTTTATCAGCTTGAGCTGAGGATCATCTTTCGCATTAGCGCCATAAGTAGACATAAAGTAGTCATTGAAGATCGAACATTTGATTGCACCGTCGGTTAAGGCAGTTCTATCAGAGTTTACAATTGTGTTTATACAACTTGATTTTCTATTCTGCCTACGGTCCAAAAGTTTTGAGATGCAGCCTACCACATTTGCGCCCTTCAGTGCCATTACCTCCTCAGAGCATAGCATTTTGTGGTGGTCTTGGTATAACGCTGTAAGCAATCTGGTGTGGAGCATCAGCAGAGTAAAATCATTAGTTTTCCTAAATTTTTTCTTTATTTTATAAAGTTTAGTGGCTACCTTTTTTGAGATGACTGCAGGAGCAGCAGTACTTTTCAAGTTCTTAGTACGTTCTGGAGCCACAGCTTCAACACAAAGCTGAATGCGGTGGTAGAATTCATTACACGCAATTTGTACATTCTGTGCTAAGAAGAATGGATCCCAATATGAAGACCTTATAAGATCCGAGAAAATTGACCAATTCACAGAAGAGAATGGGCGGTAATTGATCACTGATTGTATCGTTTTAGAAAGAATTTGGAAAGAACAACCAACGATGTTATGATCACTACCGGCAACTTGCCACTGATGTATGTGGACACATGCCAACATTCCATGGTAAATATTAGATCAAGAGTGTTACCAAGCCGTGTAGGTTCTGTGACGTGCTGTACCCATCCCAGTCGACCAAGAGTAGACATTAAAGGATTGTGTTTTTGTGGTTTATTGTTAAGGGAACATGGGATTTCGGGCATAATAAAATCCCCAGCGATTATTTTGTTAGTGTATGAGAGGTCAGCAATAAGACAGAAAGTGTCCAACAAGTCATCGGTCACGGTGAGTGTAGAAGATGGGGGTCTGTAAATACAACCTACTAAGAGATTTGTTGGATTAATAGAAATTGTAATCCACACCGAATCAGGAAGTCTCCGGAGTTCATTCAAAGGCAGAACCAAGTATTTGTCTTTGACGTAGATTATACAGCCACCACCTCTACCATAAAGACAGTCATTACGAAAGATGTTATAACCCAGTATCTTGAACAATGTGTCAGACATCTTTGTTGAACACCATGTTTCTGTAATTAGTACTATATCAGGAGAAGAAAGGTGAAGGATATTACGTAGAAGTGCATTTTATTTAACAGTGAACGGGAATTAATTAAAAGTAAGTGCAGTGTCTTGTTGTCCGTTGGGTTGTCTACAGGAATCCAGGTACAGGACCCCAACGAGTTGGTATTTGGAGAGAGTGGAGTGGGGGTGATGGATACGGAGGACATATAATTTGCGGAATTAGTGTCATTTGGGGGTGTGGCGGGTAGAACGCCACTGGACCCCCAAAAAAATGTTGGAAGGGTGAAATACTGGGAAAATGGCGACCCACTGGGAGATTACAATTTTCTGGCTGTTGCACATAAACTACGTGCCAGTTAAGATTATTTACATGTTGAGGTAGTTTGAGAGGATTTTGGTTGGGCCAATTTCTCTCAGCTACTTTAAGTTCCCTAACAAGTGGCTCACAAGTTATGGAGCACACAGGTCGCATATTCAAATGCTGCATAGTTGGAGATATGCCGATTGTCTGCTGGTTTTCAGTGGTGACAGCGTTTGGTGGAATGTTTAAAATAGCCGTGTTTTTATTGTGCCTAGAAGCACCCGTGTAGATTCCACTTGAGGTTTTGCTACCAGTGTTCTTTGCAACAGGGCTGCTCCGCAGTTTTAAAGGTTCGCAGCTTTTAGGAGAGGAGGTTTTCAGTTTCGTACCAGAGCGTCTATGCACCTGGTTGGTGAACGACAAAGAGTGAGTAGAAATAGTCGTTTGCGCAATGGAACTTTCTTGTATGTTCGGGGACGAGTTGCGCGGTAATGCTGGACTAATGTGACACTGAATGTAGTCAGAAGCGATATTTTTATGACAGTTGCTATCTGATTTCGCTTTGATAAGGCGCAAATGTTGTTTACTTCCAGAAGTAAGAATGCTAGAATGTGCATCCTTTTTCTAGACCAGAAGCACGTTTCCACTATTCTGCCATTATATTAGTAGAGTTAAATAATCCGGATTAAAAAATTCCTAGTGCGTCTGTCAATAAGTTGGTAGTAGTTATAATGTGAATATTGTGGGTAAACTTAAGAACTGGAGCTATATTGACCATAGTTGTGCTTCTAATTTGCTTATACTGCACAGGAATTGTGCCGTCGATTTAAAGCACCTATTGTTTGGATATTGTTTTATGCAAAGCATAAAAAGCTGGCCTTTGTTACTATGTGTATGAGATCCGACAGCAGTAACGGAAAATAGATCGTAGGTGTTGTCCACTAAAATTTGTATTTTTCTGCGCATTTAACTGGCAGATAATTCCAGTGGAGTATTCTTTTCTTAGGTATATCAATAAATATTCTCTGCGTTTCAAGTACGAGCATCAGCAAAATTAAAGACCCTAATATCTAAACAAGCAGCATGGAAGTTTAAAATCCCGGAACAAAGTTTGCTTTCCCTGCATTTACTTTCGTGCCTTATAGATTCAACCTGCCAAGGAATACGAATATTTAGTTCAAAGGTTCGAAGATATTTTTATTCCAGCTGTCTTTTTCATATAATAACCTTTCTCCTATTGAAAACATAAAACAAAATTTATTTCCACTGAGAGAAAAAGGGACAAAAATAAACATTTATCTATTTCTATTAGACGATTGACTAGACTGCTTACAGAAAGAAAACCACAAGTTGTATGATGTGCCACACTTAAGTCAGAACAAGTCTGCCTTCGCAATAGGCGGATTAAATTATAGTCACCACGAGTGTGGTTGACTGATCCAGTGAACCAAAGTAAATTTCTTCTACGATTGCTGTCGGTTTTTCAGAAGCACTTGGT